TCAATCCTACACCTGCATGGAGTTGAATTTTGCCAACAATGTGAACGAGCATGGAAACAGATTCTTCTTCAAAACCTCCACAATCAACTGCAGCCCTGCGGACCCCTTGACTTCAGCCTTGTGAGACTAAACAGAAGACCCAGCTGAACCACACTTCCTTGGACTTCTGACCTACAGAACTGGGGCCCCTGGGTTCTGAAATATCAGTTCTTGATATTAGAGAACTAATGAAAAATGTCAACCTAATGAAAAATATCAAAGAAGAACTAAATAAATGGAGATATTTCATGTTTGTGGATAGGAAAACTCAATATTGTCAAGAGGTCAATTCTTCCCAACTTGATCCACAGATTCAATGCAATTCCAATAAAAATCCCAGCAAGTTATTCATGGATATAGACAAGCTAATCGTAAAGTTTATATGCAGAGACAAAAGGCCCGGAATAGACAACACAATATTGGAAGAGAACAAAGATGAAGGACTGAAACTGCCCAACTTCGAGATTTATGATAAAGCTATAGTAATCAAGACAGTATGTTGGTAAAAGAATAGACAGGTGAATGGAACAGAAGAGAGAGCCCAGTAATAGGACCATGTAAATATAATCAATTGACCTTTGCCAAAGGAACAAAGATAGTCTTTTCAACAAATGATGCTAGAACAGCTAGACATATACATGCAAAATAAAAAAAAGATCCTAGACAGAGACCTTATATCCTTTACAAAAATTAACACAAAATGGATCAGACCTATATGTAAAATGCAAAGCTCTGAAATTCCTGCAAGATAATATAGGAGGAAACCTAGATGATCTTAGGTCATGATACTTTTTAGATACAACACCAAAGTCATGATCCATGAAGGAAATAACAGATAAGCTGTACTTCATTAAAATTAGAAACTTCTGGGGCGCCTGGGTGGCTCAGTCGTTAAGCGTCTGCCTTCGGCTCAGGTCATGATCCCAGGGTCCTGGGATCGAGCCCCGCGTCGGGCTCCCTGCTCCGCGGGAAGCCTGCTTCTCCCTCTCCCACTCCCCCTGCTTGTGTTCCCTCTCTCGCTGTGTCTCTCTCTCTGTCAAATAAAAAAAAAAAATCTTTAAAAAAAAATTAAAAACTTCTGTTCAGTGAAAGACACTGTCAAAAGAATGAGAAAACAAGCCACAAACTAGGAGAAAATATTTTCAAAAGATACATGGACAAAGGACTGTTACTCGCAATATACGAAGAACTCTTAAAACTCAACAAGAAAACAAGCAATCCAATTTAAAAATGGGCAAAAGGTCTTAACAGACACCTCACCAAAGAAGATAGGCAGATGGTAACTAAGCACAAGAAAAGATGTTCAACATTGTATGTCATTAGAGAATTGGAAATTGAAATGAAATATGAATACATACCTATGACAATGGCCCAAATTCAAAACACTGACAACACTAAATGCTGGTGAGGATGTGGAGCGAAGGGAATTCCCATCCATTACTGGTAGGAATGCAAAATAATATAGACACTTTGGGAGACAGGTTGGCAGTTTCTTACAAAACTAAACATACTCTTTTACGATCCAACAATCTCACTCTTTGGTATTCACCCAAATGATTCGAACACATGTCTACACAAAAACCTGCACATGGGTGTTTATAGCAGTTTTATTCATAATTGCCCAAACTTGGAAGCCACCAAGGTAGACAAATAAACTGGTACACACAGACAATTGGATATTATTCAGCGTTGAAAAGAAATGAGTTGTCAAGCCATGAAGAGTGATGGAGGAAAATTGAATGCATATTACTAAGTGAAAGAAGACACTCTGAAAAGGCTACATCGTGTGTGATTCCAACTACATGACATTCTGGAGAAGACAAAACTATGGAGACGGTAAAATGATTAATGGTCACCAGGGATTAGGGGAGAGGGTGGGATAAATAGGCCAAGCACAGAGGATTTTTAGGGCAGTGAAACTATTTTGTATGATATCACAATGGTAGATACATGTCATCATACATTTGTCAAAACCCATAAAATGCACAACATCAAGAGTGAATGTAATGTAAACTAATATAATGTAAACTATAAACTTTGAGTGAAAATAATTTGTCAGTGTAGGTTCATCACTTGTAAAAAATGTACCACTGTGGTGAGGGTTTTTGAGAATGGGGGAGTTTGTGCATATGTGGGGGGGGCCGGAGGTTTATGGGAATTCTCTGTACTTTTGCTCAATTTTGTTGTGAACCTAAATAAAACTGCTCTAAAAAATAAAGTTTATTAATTTAAAAGATCCTCTATGCTATTTTAGTGAAGAATCAGAGTAGGTGCTCTCTTTGACAATTAGCTTTCTTGGCCAGTCTACCTGACACTCAGAGAAATTCATTCTGGAACCACACTGGTGTTTGACCTTATTTGACTGGATACCAGATCAAATGTCTTAAGTGGCATCTTTTTCATGCATTCTTGAGAAACGCATAAACTGAAAAATGATTTTTTTTGCCAAATCAAATAGATAATGTATCCAACACATACCCTTATCAATTTAACACAGGACGATTAATCCAACAATTCAACTTGTAATAATTTATTCTGAGAAAATAATCATTTAAAGAAATTCAACACAGGGCAACCCTCTTGGGTCCCCTCCCTCCTCGGGAGCTTTGTACTATCACTTTGCTATCGCTCAATAAACCTTGCTTTGCTGCCCACCACTCTGTCTGGTCTACTTCTTCATTCTTCGAAGCGGGGTGACCAAGAACGGCGGGCACCGACAGAGAGAAAATCCTGTAACACCCGTGCTTTAATAAAACTACCATTTTGCACCTAAATAAATAAATAATAAAGAAGTCCAACACAGCATTGTTTAGAATAGTAAAAATAAGATACAATTTAAATGCTTACCACCAGGCAATCGGTTATAAAAAACAAAGTGCACATATACTATCTAATAATGAAAAATGTTGATATTTATTGACAGGGAAAGAGGCCCACAGCATTTATTGTAAGAAAATAGCAGGTTATAAAACCATATGCATATCTGTGTGTGTTCCCACACAGTACCCCTAGGTGGTAGGTTTTGGAGTGTATCAATTTATTGCTTTTCAGCTTTGAATTCATACTTCATTCCCCATTCTGCAAAAATGGAGATGGGCCCCTATATATTTTTCCTTTGCCGGCTGATACATATGTTAAACTTTACCGCTACAGGGAGCTTTCATTGTAGAAGGAAGGGTTTCCTCCCTCCGTCCAGTGTACTGCTTTGAAAGGTTCCTGTCTCCAGAAACTTCCCCCAACAGACATACCAAACCTCTCCAGTGGTTTTGCAATAGAATGCTTCCAGGGAGACAACTCCCTGTGATTAGCTCTCCCCAGAGAGCAGATTTTGAGCAAGTTTGGACCACACAGCACACAGTAACTTCCCTGCTGACCTGTGGTCACACCCTGCCCAACAAACCCTCTCCTCAGCTCTTGGTGGGGAGGGTCCTTGGACCCTCTATCTCAGACCTCGAGGTTGTGGTTGCCCCTCATAACTGCTCTTCTTATATTCTTTAGAGCTCTCTTTGTTTCCTACCAGCTGACTCCTCATTACTCCAATCCCCTGCCGTAGTTAGTAATTCTTTATATTAAAACTTATCCTGCTCAAAAAACAAAACAAAACACAAAAAGCAAACCCTAGATAAAATTACCTATAACCGTACTCTTTCTGTGATAACTACCATTTACACCTTGATGTATATACTCTAAACCTTTTCTCTTGTATGAATGTGTATGCATGTATTACATGTGCATGTATATACATATAAAATACATATCTGTGTCTATATATAGTTTTTAAAACAAAAGGTAAAGCACATTATACAGGTTATTTTGTTATTTTCTGTGTCAGTATTGACAATGGCTCCATTGAGGTATATATATATACTTTAAATTGTTAAAATTTCCCCCTCGTCTGGGACATTTAGCCTCCTTTCCATCTTAAGTTATTATGAACAGTGCTGCAATGAACATCTTTGTGTCAGATATCTCTTGTTTATTCTACCAGATCCACTTTCTACTCTTCTCCATCCTTTTCTCAGCTCTGCTCTCCTTTAGGGAGAACATTAACTGGTTCCTCTGCCCTCTGGTTTCCAGTGAGGTCCCGCCAACATGAGCTCCTGTAGGAGATTGGAGACAAGGACAAGAGTGAGGTCAGGGTATTAATTCCTTGTTCCCTACTGTGAGGTCTCCTAGAGCTGGCTGAAGGTCACTGTTCTCAAGGTGGCCAATCCTCTCTTCCCAGTTCTCAGAACCAGTCCTTCCCTTGTCCTTTTTCCTCTGAACCTAGGGATGGTGACAGCTCTTCGCCTCCACAAGCCCTAGGTACCTGCACCATCCCCTGTTGTTTTCCTACAACTCCTCCATTTCTTTGTAAATGAACCCCACGTGAATTATCCTAGTTTGAGTGTGCCAGTTGTTCTCTTACTAATACAACCTTTAAACCTAAATCTTTGTGTATATCTTTAATTATATTCTTCAAGTAAATTTCTAGATGGAGAATTTGCGAGGACATTGAGTGTACCTGTTTGTTTTTTGTGTTTTGTTTTTTTTTTTAAGATTTTATTTATTTATTTGAGACAGAGAGCATGAGAGGGAGGAGGGTCAGAGGGAGAAGCAGACTCCCTGCCGAGCAGGGAACCCGATGCGGGACTCGATCCCGGGACTCCAGGATCATGACCTGAGCCGAAGGCAGTCGCCCAACCAACTGAGCCACCCAGGCGCCCCTGGTTGTTTTTTTTTTTTTTTCCTGCAAAAAACTTTATTGTTTCCATTTGGTGCATGGCTTGGGAGAGGGCTCCGGGGTGGTTAAAAAGCTGCCTCGTGGCTGCAGGGAGAGACTCAGGCAGAAGCCCTGGTGCCAGGGTTTGCCAGAGGGGCCCCTCAAAGGCTGCTGGGCTTCAGGGTTGTGCTTGAGGGTGAATCTTCGGATGAGATCCTCACCCAGCCCAGCCTGGGGGCAGCTAGTCTGAGGAGGTGAATCAGGTGGTCCCCATCTTCTTGATGTGCTTCACCGCCTCATCTAGGAAGTGGTTCTCCAGGAAGTCGCAGAGATGGAGGTCTGCGAGGGCAGAACCCAGGGCATGCAGATCCAGAAGGGCCTGGTTCTGGTTCTTCTCCAGAACCAGGGTGGCTTCTATGGCATCCAGGGCTTTACTCCACTCATCTTGGGAAGGTTTCTGGACAAGGACGAGGCTGCTGCACTGGTTTGGCATCTTCAAGAGATGTTCAGCACCCTCAAGCTTCTCCTCAGCCAGCTCGAGGAAGAAGGAGCCCACGTCTTCCAGAGCCACATTTTCACCATCAAAACAGGAGACCAGAGAGAGGTAGGTGTAGGAGGCCTGCAGATGCATGTTGACCAGGTGGTTGACGGCAGCCTCCACCTGGGTGGAATCATTCTGATGAATCTGGGAGCTCAGGGCTGATCCATAATAAGGAGCTAAGCTCAAAATAGGGTGTTGGCTGGTCCCAGAGGCAGAGGTTGGCCAAGAAGATGGCTCCCAAGGTTGTGACTGGAGGAAAAGTCGGAGGTTGGTCAGAGGTTGGTAGAGGAGGCATCCCTGGGTTGTTCCATCCAAACACTGTTGAAGCAAAAGACAGATCCATGGAACCTCCCGGCACACTGCCTGAGTAAACCTGTTTTTAAAATGTGTGAAACATGTTTTAGTGTTCAGTTTAGATGGAAGGTTTCTAATCTTGGTGATACAGGGGGTCACCCTCTAAAAAATATGTAATCTTAACTCTGGGTCCAACCAGATGAGAATATACATAAAGATTTAATAAGGATGAAGAAGTTGGTAGGGAATACAGCCCACCATTTAACCTGGTCCCTGAGAAGTTCTAGAGACCCCAAATCTTCCTGAGCTTTTTAATAAGCCCATTTTGTGAAGGAGTATTACTAGGATCCAGCTAGAAAGTGAACTAAAGAAAGAAATCCAATCAGTTGATATTGGTTTATTGAGTAGAATAAATAAGACTTCCACATGTCATTTGTTATCTTGGCTTCTGTGAGTTCATTCATCAAATTTCCAACACGGGTGACCAAAATTTGTCTTCATGTTTCAATGTGAGGCCCAATTCTCATGATGATGATTTCTTATACCTGAGCGTTTCTAAGATAATTTAAAACACATGTGGCAGATATGACTTATATAAACTCAGGAAGCACAAGAAATGTTGCACCTTTTCCAGGGTGAACCATATGAAACTGATGTTTCATAAGTTAAAAATTGTCAAATATCAGCAATTTCATATGCTTTACCGTAGTACTTTTCTCTAAATCCATTTAATTCTATTTTGCACCTTCATCTTGCCATATCGGCTAGAAAGATAACCTTAGCTGTTTGTAGGACTCCTCTACACCTACTCTTCATCTACCCCTGTCCTCTCTCCAACCTCCTCCCCTGCTTGAGAATATGTCAGAGTTTCTGGGTGAATAGGGAGTTGAGGGGGGAGGAGGAGAGCATCTGTTCAAGTCAGTGCTGTGTCTTCCATGTTCTCTGTCTGCCTCTGTTCTTCCTAGGCTATTCTGGGAGCATGGGAATCGAGAAGCTGCCTAAGAATCTGTCTGCCGAGGCAAACCGGTCAGCAGTTTCTTCTCTGAGGTCTTATTGTTCCCATAGTTGCACAGCTGTGAGTGCAAAGGGGTTTCCAGATGATCACACTGAGGCTTACCACAAAGGAAATGGATCACTGTCCCCAGTACCTGGAACATCATAGGTACTCAGTAAATATTTTTTTTTGTTTTTTTTTTAAAGATTTTATTTATTTATTTTGACAGAGAGAGACACAGCGAGAGAGGGAACACAAGCAGGGGGAATGGGAGAGGGAGAAGCAGGCTTCCCGCGGAGCAGGGAGCCCGATGCGGGGCTTGATCCTGGGACCCTGGGATCATGACCTGAGCCGAAGGCAGACGCTTAACGACTGAGCCACCCAGGCGCCCCGGTACTCAGTAAATATTGATTGAAGGAATAAATAAACGATCTGAAGTTGTCAGACTAAGCAGAGTGAGCAGAAAAATAGCAATAGCCAACACTTACAGGATTCTTAATGTGACAGGCGTTGTTCTAATCGCTTTACATAAATTGACTGTTCTTGCAATGACCCCAAGACTAAGGTAACTAAGCAGAACTAAAGGACCTGCTCAAGTTTGTGGCCCACCTCCGTAGTGTGACTCAAAAGCCTATCTGCTTAAGTTCTAGTGCATACTGCAGCCCATTCTAACTTTGGAGAGAAGGAGGTAGGCCTTCGATGTCCTTGGGTGTTCCAGTTGCTTCAACGCAGATTTTGCTAGGGACATTGCTCTCTGATGCTTAAGATCACTAACAAATCCCAGGCAACATCCGGCTGGCAGCAGCCCACTGGCATTCCCATCTGGCCCGCTCCGCAGGACTGGTCCTGTGAAAGCATCAGCTAACAGCAACAACCGCTGCGTGATGAATGGCTAGAAGTAGGGCAGCTAGAAGCGTGACGGGGACGAGGAATGCAATCAGGAAATGCTGACCTGGAACTTGGAGTGGGGTAAGTCGCGCCGTGATGGATGGAGGGCGGCAACTGCACGTACAGCTTGCTGGCACACATCGTCCAAGAAGCGCTGCTTAATTTGAATCGAAACAGGCAGCTTGAGAGGCAAGCAGTGACCAAAGCCACAAATCAAAATACAAACCTCTCATTAATCTTTCCAACCACACTCACACTTTTGGGTAGTATTGTTGTTCAGCATCACTCTTCAGTATGATAAAAACAACAACAACAACAACAAAAACCATGATGCAGGGCGATGCACCCAGGGCCATGCTCTGTGAGACTTCTGAGGCAGGAACAGGCAGAAGAGCCTTCGAGCTGAGAGCTAAAGGGCACGTCTGAGCCGATCTCCAAACAAAGGCTTCTGTTTAATTTTTGGCATGGCAGTTCTAGAATGTACTGAGGTGCTTGTGCACAAGAGCAAAGTATGGTCGGTTCCCTTTTTTTCACACATCAGTCAAGGGCTCCCTCTGTTATTTTTCCCCTTCCCCATTGTGGTCCTACCTCTTGTATCTCAGCCCAGGTCAGAGATCTGGGTGCCCCGGGTAGTGGGAGACTCCACCCAGCAGGAACATGATCACCCTGAGCAGTCAGTGTAATGTTGGGTCCATGCTGTGTGGGCTCCATGTTGTTCTGGAGACTTGCACCACTTATAAGGAAAAGACACTTCATGTGTCTGTGACTTTTCATTAAGTCCTCAAATGAGACTTAAAATGGGTGTTTAAAAATTAACCCCCTTTCGGGATGCCTGGGTGGCTCAGTTAAGCATCTGCCTTCAGCTCAGGTCATGATCCCGGGGTCTTGGGATCGAGCTCTGCATCGGGCTCCCTGCTCAGCAGGAAGTCTGCTTTTCCCTCTGCCTGCCACTCCTCCATGCTCGTGCTCTTGCTCTCTCTCTTTCAAATAAATAAAATCTTAAAAAAAAAAAAACCCTTTCAGATATATGGTTTGCAAATATTTTCTCCCATTCTGTAGGTTGCCTTTTTAGTCTATTGACTGCTTCCTTTGCTGTGCTGAAACTTTTCAGTTTGATGTAGTCCCACTTATCTATTTCTGCTTTTGTTGCCTATGCTTTTGGTATGATATCCAAGAAGTCCATTACCAAGACCAACATCAAGGAGCTTTTCCCCTTTGCTTTTTTCTAGAAGTTTTCTAGAAGTTCTCAAGTCTTAAATTTAAGTCTTTAACCCCCCCTTTTTGGGGGGAGAGTCTGTGGGGGTGGGGAAGAGGGGCAGAGGGAAAAGGGAGAATCTCAAGCAGAATCCACGCCCAGTGTGGAGCCCAACATGGAGCTTGATCTCGTGACCCTGAGATCATGACCTGAGCCAAAATCAAGAGTTGGACGCTTAACTGACCAAGACACCCAGGTGCCCCAAGTCTTTAACCCATTTTGAGTTGATTTTGTGTATGCTGTAAAGTAGGGATCCGATTTCATTTTTTTGCGTATGGATGTCCAATTTTCTCAGAACCATTTATTGAAAAGGTTGTCTTTTCTCTCTTGTGTATTCTCAGCATTGTTGTCAAAGATTATCTGATCATATGTGTGTGGGTTTGTTTTTGGGCTTTCTATTCCACTCCATTGGTCTATATGTCTGTCTTTATGCTAGTACTATACTGTTTTAATTACTGTAGCCTTGTAATATGTTTTGAAATCAGGAAGGGTTTTTTTTTTTTTAAAGATTTTATTTATTTATTTGGGAGACAGAGAGAGAGACCGCGCACAAGCAGGGGGAGGAGCAGAGAGAGAGGGATAAGCAGGCTTCCTGCTCAGCAGGGAGCCTGACGAGGGGCTCCATCCCAGGACCCTTGAGATCATGATCTGAGCTGAAGATAGCTGCTTAATTGACTGAGCCACCCAGGCACCCTGAAATCAGGACGTATTAATAACTTCATCTTTGTTCTTCTTTCTCAAGATTGCTTTGGCTATTTGGGGTCTTTTGTGGTTCCCTATGAATTTTAGGATTATTTTCTCTATTTCAGTAAAAAATGTCATTGAATTTTGATTGGGATAGCATTGACTCTGTAGATCTCTTAGGGTAGTACAAACTTTTTTTTTTTTTTTTAGTACAAACATGTTTAAAATATTAAGGCTTCTGACCATAGAACTCAAAAGTAAAAAAACATGAATAAACTACATTAAAAATGGGCAAAGACCTTAAACAGACATTTCTCCAAAGAAGATATCCAAATGGCCAACAGGTATATAAAGAGGTGCCCAGGGCTCCTGGCTGGCTCTGTGGGTAAAGTATGCAACTCTTGATCTCAGGGTCATGAGTTCAAACCCCAAGTTGGGTGTAGAGCTTACTTAAAGAAAAAAAAAAGATGCTTAACATCAGTAATTATTAGGGAAGTGCAAATCAAAACTAAAAGGAGATACCACTTCACATCCATCAATAGCTATAATAAAATAGATGTCTGTCTTTTTCTCTTAGAGTTGTAGGGATTCTTTACCTATTCCAGATACCAGTACTTCATTGGATATATGTATTGCAAATTTTTCTCCCAGTTCTACCCTGCATTTCATTCTTTTAATGGTGTTTTTTTGACTAAGAGAAGGTCTTAATTTTAATTAAGTATAATTTTTATTCTTTTGTTTTGTACTTTTTTCTTATATTTTATACCTCAAGTTTATGAAGATATTCTCCTACGTTTTCCTCTAAAAGCATTATTTTACTTTTCATATTTAGGGCTACAATCCATTTCAAATTAATTTTTGTGTGTCTAATGTGAAAGAGGCATCACATTCTCCTTGTCCAATTGATCCACTACTATTTACTGAAAGGACAGAATGCACAAAATTTAAACTATGGATATTATGTGAGGAATGGAAGGC